TAGTATTTGTAAATATTAAGTTGCAAAAAGACTTTAAATATGAATATTGCATGTTCTTAGTCTCTCTGTGTAAATGAATGGCGCAGTAGATCTGTTTGCTGCAAACATAGCCTACTGAAGCACGCGTGACGCTCGCGGTGATTTCAGCGTCTGCCGCCTCTCTAAACGAGGACTTAAATTCATGAACATGATCTCTAGAACTGCTCTGAGAGTCACTTCCTGAGCGTTTTACCATTTCATTTTAGTCAAACCAGCATCATAGAAATGTCGAAAATAAACGTTTGGTTTGAAATACATTACTATTGTTCAGCAGAATGAACGTAATACTACTACTAAAATTATTAAAACCTTATTTTAGTAAAGGAATAATCATACTACATTTCTTCTACGTTTTAATTTTAAATCCCCTTTATTTGCCAAAAAAATAAAAAATGGTTTAATTTGTATTAATGAAATGATAAGTGAAGGTTTCATGCCTTCATTTGATAACCAAAAAAATTATAAATACACAAAAACATTTCATAAGGTTATTGTAAGAATAAATGAAACTTGATTTTATGCATTCAAATAATTAGACACGCTAAAACACAGAATTTGGTAACAAAACATAAGGTGGGAAAAAATTAAATATTTCATAGGGCCCTAAACATGTAATTTCTGTTAATCTTTTAATAAACTGATATAAAATTTAGTTTAATTATTTAAATTAGACATGCTTTTTGAATAATACAATTTAATTTAACCATTAAAAAGTAGCCCAGGGTAAAAAGTAGTACAGGATCTTTCCCAGGAATTTGGGAAAAAATAAAACGGATTTCATAGGGCCCTATAAAACTGTCCTGAAATTAGTTCCTTCCTCAGGATGACCTACATAGTTAAAACTGTCAGATACAACTTGGCACATTGCATGAGGCAGAGAAAAACCTGTCGAGATGTACTACTACCATGACGAATGTGTTCAAAAGTTAGAGACAACTCTAGGTGAAGCAAATAAATGAATGGCAGGACTAACTCATAGCAACATCATACACCATGAGTAATGTAATGTCAGAAGCACTAAAGGGCTAAGCCACCTCCAAGTTATTTAATTATATTACACTGTGTAACACTAAACCACAATATACTATAATTAAACTTAATAGAAACAATTTTTATTATACTAACACAGACACTGCTATATTAAAACAACAATTCAAAGTCAGAAAGAGCTTTAATACCAAGTATGTTTACAGACACAAGGAATTTTACTTGGCGACAGGAACTTCCAGTTCAGAAGAAAGTATAGAGCAAACATACATGACAGTGTAAATATCCATGTCCGTGTTTATAAAAAAAAACATAAAAGTAATCAGAATGAGAATGAGCTTTATTGCCAGGTATGTTTACACATACGAGGAATTTGTTTTCGTGACAGAAGCTTCCACAGTGTCACAGAATGACAGTGACAGAACAAAAAACACAGATAATAAAAAATAGAACAAGTAAGTAAGGAATAAAAATATATAAATTGACAGTTGTATGTGCAGGTATATTACAATAGACAGTTTTTGTATGTACAGGTACATATTATGTGCAAATTTGAGGTGTAGACTGAGTATGTGTGTTAGATAAATAAGTGTATGAGTGAATAAATAGTGTGTGTTCCACAGTTATTGTCAAGTGTTCATGAGATGGATTGCCTGAGGGAAGAAACTGTTCCTGTGTCTGGTCGTTCTGGTGCTCAGTGCTCTGTAGCGTCGACCAGATGGCAACAGTTCAAAGAGGGAGTGTGCTGGATGTGAGGGGTCCAGAGTGATTCTGCCAGCCCTTTTGCTCACTCTGGATGAGTACTGTTCTTGAAGAGAAGGGAGGGTTGTACCAATGATTCGCTCAGCAGTCCGGACTACCCTCTGAAGTCTTCTGAGGTCAGATTTGGTAGCTGAGCTGAACCAGACAGTTATTGAAGTGCAGAGGATGGATTCAATGATAGCAGAGTAGAACTGTTTCAGCAGCTCCTGTGGCAGGTTGAACTTCCTCAGCTGGCGTAGGAAATACAACCTCTGCTGGGCCTTTTTCACAATGGTGGGCCTTGAATCGCTCTCCACAGATTCAAGGTGGCCTGCTCACACTGCCTCAACCTGCCACCCATAAAAGACCCACACACTTGCACACACCACACAGCCAGTGCCACACTATTCGAATCACCCGGACCTGTACAAAGCCACTGAATACACAAACAGATGAGAGCAGTGCCACACAAATAACACAACAAAGCAATGAATAATCAGTACACATAAATTAGACCAAAATGACAAAATAAAACAACAAGAATCAGTGGCTGGTCTGCCCCAACAAGCAAAATATACTTTAATGAACGTGCAACTACAGTAACCCACAGCTGCCAAATCTCTCAACAAACTCCCACTGTAGATGCAGAGGAAATACTGTAAACAAAAGTGTACAAATATTAGCCACATCAGTAAAAAAATATTTAATTTACCAATCACTTGGAACCAGGGTTATTATAGCTAACTAAAACTGAATCTGCAACTAAAATTAAAACAAAACAATTTTTTTTAACTGAAATAAAATATACCTTAACTGAAATAAATATTTTAAAAAAGCTTTATTTCATTTGATGAGGCAATATTTCTCAATTTTAATTTAGTTAATATACCTGATATACTAAAATAAATAAAACTTAAATACATTTGTTTAAAAACTATATATATTACAAAGCAAAAACTACTATAAATAACCAAAATTAAAATGAAAATGGAAATGAAAATCATAAAAAACTATAATAGTAACATAGCCAGTTGGTTTTATTTAAGCATGTCATTTGCCAGTCATTCAGCACTCATAAATGGCCACCAGTCCATAAAAGGTAGACCAGCAGTAAATATTCTTCTGCCTCACATCCCTGAAAACTAGTTGATAATCACCCTGAAAAGACGTCACATAAGAATGAAGTTGAACTATTGAATCACAGCCCCTTTAAAAACACATATCCAAATCAATGTACATACAGTGGGTACGGAAAGTATTCAGACCCCCTTAAATTTTTCACTCTTTGTTATATTGCAGCCATTTGCTAAAATCATTTAAGTTAACTTTTTTTCCTCATTAATGTACACACAGCACCCCATATTGACAGAAAAACACAGAATTGTTGACATTTTTGCAGATTTATTAAAAAAGAAAAACTGAAATATCACATGGTCCTAAGTATTCAGACCCTTTGCTCAGTATTTAGTAGAAGCACCCTTAAAAAGGTGAAGAGACAGGACATCAGGTACCAAAAGCTGGGCAACAAAACTATCTTAGGCCACCACTACGTTGATATCTTTTTGGTCTCATGACTAACTAGCCGCGTACGAGACTTACTGGGGAGTCTAAACCTCTCCTTCCACAGTAGGTCATTCTCAGCAGTAGGGCAGATTTTCATCCGGCCTAATTTAACCACTGGTGTAGAGTGATTTAAAATAGTTCAAGAAAGTCATTATAGATAGATAGATAGATCTTGTATCTGTGCTTCTATTCACCTTATCCACTTAGCTTTACTGTGCAAGAATATACTTCTCGGTATCCTAACTGATCATTTAAATAGTTACTGTTTCTAAATAATGCTAACTATTGTTAGTGAGAAATATGGCACTATAGCGTCATAACCAGTAGTTATAGCTTTATTACCAGTACAAACTCAATCTTTTTCTGTCTGCAGATTGTGGTTTGAGGTTAGAGGTCTGATGTTCCAGAAATATGTGCTTGCATGAGGTACGTAGAGACCATTGTAACATCATGCCAACATATTCAGAGATCAACAGGCAGAGGAAGAATGTCAGGGTTTATCCTTTTATTTTCATCTACAGTACTTGTCATGATAATCTACATTGGATATCGTAAATCTTTACAATTGTGAGAGATATTATATAAGAAGGTGTCCTTTAATACAGCCTGAAAAATGATTTAACAAACACATTTGGTGTTATGATTTTAAATGTAATGATCAATGGAGATCAAATTATTGACTATAGGTCTAGTGAGGAATGATTTGGCCAAAAACCACACAGTAAATTTGCCCAATTAAAATTTACTCAAATTGAAGAAAATGTTACTCTATGCCAGATAACATTTGGTCCCTCTCTGAAAAGAGTAAAAGTTACTCTTTTGATAGAGTTGTTTTTCCAGAGTTCATTTTGCTCAATTTAGTGTTAATATTTTACTCTTTCCTGTTATATTTGACTCTATTTAGTGTTTTTTAAAATTAACTCTTGTACTATTTTACTCAGTTCAGAGGTAAAAGAAATGGACTCTGTGACTTTTTAACTCTGTTCAGAGGAAAGTCAAATTTACTCAGCAGAAGCGCATCTTCTCTTCTAAACCCACAAGCAGCAGCGGTCGATGGCCGTGATTAACAGTAATGGCGGATCAACGAAGGGAGGAGAACAGTTTGGGGAGGAGTCACAGTTACTCTATAATTTTGCTCCCACTCTACTGACACATTTTACTCTGTACACTCAAAATAGAGTAAAAACAACTATTTTTTTAGGAAAAAAATATTAACTCTGGAAAAACAACTCTGCCGTTTTTCCTGTGCATTTCATTCTTTAAGAAGTTGTTTCTCATTTAATTAAGAGATTTTTTTTCTTCTAAAATACGGGAAGGTTGAGTTTATAACCCATGTTGCAATGAGTAAGTGTAATGCAATGCTGATAGGGGGTGAGTAAAAAGAGGAAGATTCACTGTCACAAGTTGCCAGAACAATGTTTGGGTGTGGTGAAATAATCCTTTTACATTTCATGTATTTCATCAGAGTAAACGTAAAACTAAAAAGGTGGTGCCTGCAGTCACAGTGTTTAATGAAAACAGTGGAAAAGTCACTCCTCCCCTACAACCTGCAACTCAGCTCCCATTTGCTGGCTAGTTTCATCGGCAGCACATAAACGACTGAACCAGAGTACAGTATTACATACATTGCTGCAGATCACAAGGCAAAGGAAAAAACAATAATCAGAAGAATGGATCCAAGCCAGTCTTTCAATCAGCCTCCAGGGGCTTCAAATTCATCTGAGAAATCAGCAGCACCACCAGCATACCAGCACAATCCAAACCAGCCGGTTCCCCAGGGCCCCTACACCCAGGGGCCATATCCAGGACAAGCTGTGGTCACTGTGCAGCCTGCAGTTTTTGTGACCGCTGCTCCATTGGCCAATCCAGTGCCAGATTACCTGGGTTACTCCATTTTTACCATGCTGTGCTGCTGCTTACCTCTGGGCATTGCTGCGCTGATTTACTCCATCTCTGTAAGTATATTAGTCCATGTGTTTTCCTTTTATTTAATTTCTTTAACATTTATAAGCATTAAGCATACAACTGCATAAAATGTTTGTAGAATTAGATGTGGTAATCATCAAAAGTTAATGATTACAGATGTTGTTTATCTTAACACTTTAAACAGGCACAGGAAAAAAACTGGAAAAATGATTCCTTATTAATTAATTGTATGACTGTTTTTCTTTAATCAGTTGTATGGTTCTTTGCCAGTTTTTGTGTTGATTATTAGTTTATTATTAATAATAGGTATGTTATTCACTCATCAAAGTGTTTCTGTGTGGTTGATCTATTATCTGAAACTGTATTGCTTTAAAACAATTGATTAATCCCACACATTATGAGTGATTCACTGCCCAGATAATTCTAGTGAACACAGTGTATTTTTGAATACAGCAGTAATAACTAATACATTTCTTGTACATGAGTAGCGTTTTAAACAATTTCATTATTAAGATACAGTTGATTGCCAAGAAGGCTATGTGAGCCTGTAAAAGTGCTGTACTTGTGGTTACAATAATGTGTAAACAAGACAAGTTCTTTCATGTGGCTGCCATGCTGCATTGATAAAGTGTGTGCAGATGATCCTGTCTTTTGGTTTCCAGTAAAAGGACATAAAAGGAGATACAGTTGACTACCAAATAGGTGGAAGGCTTGCTAAGCTGTATTTGCGGTCACACAAAGATGTAGGCATTATAGAAACCACAAGGTCTTTCATGTAGCTTCCCTATAACTGATCTAATATGTATAATGTGGGCATTGTTTTGTTCCAGGTTTTTTTTTCTCCCTGTAAATAAAGGTGTGGCACTGCAGACCTCCTGAACAGCAACATTATTTTTATTGATGTACTGCACTGTTATATTTCACTAAAAGAAAAACTAGGAAAATTATTTTTACACAAAAAGTGCTTGTAAATTTAAGAGCATGTGTTCAAGTAAAGGCTACACACAGGGGCGGTTACAGGATTTCATCCTCAGCGAGAATATGTAGCAAGAGACCATTGACTAAGCTGTGCCTCTTTGTGAATTGGCAACATTACTATAATAAGTCAAAAGTATAGCCTACCACATAAATTGGTACTAATTCAATATAATAACTGTATAAGTGATAACTGCAGTACAGTTAAAGAAATCGGTACACATGTAGGCTACTGTTTGATTAACAGAAAATTGTCATTATACAGTTAAGTCCATATATATTTGGACACTGACACAATTTTTATAATTTCGGCTCTGTATGTCAACAGAAAAGAATTAAAAATAAAACAATCAAGATGAAATTTATTAATTAATTTAAGGGGTTGAACTAAAATATAACATAAAATTTTATACACAGTCCCCCCCCCCCCATTTTCAGGGGCTCAAATGTAATTGGACAAATAAATATAAATACAATTTTCATGTTTTTAATATTTTGTTGAGAATCCTTTGCAGGCAATGACTGCCTTAATTCTGGAACTCATGGATGTCACTAAAGACTGGGCTTCCTCTTTTGTGATGCTTTGCCAGGCCTTTACTGCAGCTGACTTCAGTTGTTGTTTGTTTGTGGGTCTTTCTGCTTTTAGTTTTGTCTTCAGCGAGTGAAATGTATGCTCAATCTGGTTGAAATCAGGAAATTGACTTGGCCATTGCAGAATATTCCACTTTTTTACTTTCAAAAACTCATGGGGTGCTTTTGCTGTGTTTTGGGTCATCGTCCATTTGTACTATGAAGCGCCGCCCAATCAACTTTGCTCCATTTGACTAAATCTGGGCAGAGACTATATCCATATACATTGCAGAATTAATCTGGCTGCTTCTGTCTTCTGTCATGTCATCACATCACATGTCATCTGTAACCCAGTGCCACTGGAAGCCATGCATGCTCATGCCATCACACTGCTCCACCATGTTTCACAGATGATGTTGTATGCTTTAGATCACGAGCTGTTCCAAGCCTTCTCCGTACTTTTTTCTTCCTGTCATTCTAGTACAGGTTGATCTTAATTTTAGCCATCCAAAGAATGCTTTTCCAGAAGTGGTCTGGCTTTTTTGTGTAATCTGGCCTTGTTTGCACCTTGTGGCAGGGGCGGACTTACCCATTAGGCAAAGGTAGGCGACCGCCTTGGGCCCCCAAAAGCCAAGGGCCCCCTAAAATGCTTTTCATATAGGATATGCACATTAAGCATGGACACGCGAACGTTTGCTGTTTACGTTGTTTATTACCACGACAACCGTCCGAGTCCGTGTCGCCTGCAGGTGTATGGCTGTACGCACTGTGAGTACCATGAGCGCTCAGACTGACCTGAGATTTGCCCCGCAAACATTTTAGCAATTATTATAGGCCGGTGTGTCCCGTATTTCTGTCGGTTAACCCATGCCGTTAATTATGAATTTATCAGTCTTTTGCATGCCAAAGTCAATTTCTGCATAGAAATATTACGCCAAATAGAAGCAGAAAATCATGCTATACGCACTTTCATGAGATCGGGTTAGCCTACAACAATTAATTTGTTGGCTATTTTACAAATGGGAATACAACAAATTCATGACAATGTTTACATTCCAGCTACCCGTAAAATTTATAGTGAAAAGTACTTTAAAA